TTATGGGTTTACTGAATGCAGTAGGCTGATTAAATTAAATTGAAAAAAGAGCCTGAGTTTTAGACACTGTAAGCCTGAAGCTGCACTTGCACAGCACAGCTTTACTGAATAGGGAGCCCAAAACACTACTTCTTCAGTAGCAAGGTGGTATGTGTGCCTCYTGAGGGTGATCTATTCTGCAGCTGCAAGGCACACTGAATGCTTCATTGTCTTTATTGTGTTCAAGTTTTTAAGARTTGCACAAGTTGCAGTGTTAGACGTATCCTTAGCTATATCTGAAATCTGGAGATTTCTTTTGCAGAGAGGAAGCTAGGGCTGGCAATATCCATCAGTGGTTAATTTCCTTAARTAAGGGTTAAGATAATTTATGTCTTCTGTAGCTTTCAGCACTCAGTTCAATTAATAAATACAGCAGTATGTGCAGGGCTTTTTCTGCCTCTCTTTTAAGATTGGTCTCCCAGCTCTACATACCTATCAGTCGGTCCTCTTCCAGACATCAAAAGAGAAAACAAACAAACTTCACTTTCCAAACCACTTTAAACATTTATGGCATAGCATGCAAGAAAACCACAATAGGCCCTTGACAAAACTAAAATGGAAATMATCTAAATAAGAGACAAGCAACAAAACAACGACTAATTAACTAGAGAAGGAAGTTTGGAGCCAGAAGGAAGACAGCATAGTTTATTCTTTTGTARCAGAGCAGTAACTTTACTGCAAGGTCAAAGCAAACTGAAAAGCTCAGCTGTACYGAGCTTTGGCCCAAACCAGGTGGGAGTTCTCCAGACCATGACCAGAGGTTTCTCAGACCAAAAATTAACTTTGCAAGTTAAAAATGGACAGACCAGGAAAAAAGAAGTACTGGAAAATAACAGATTCCTGGTGTAGGCAACAAGCTCAGCCTAAGAAAGAAACTACAGACACCTTCTCTGAAAACCTGCAAGATTTCTAAACTTCTTTTATCAAGCAATGCATCTGGTAGTGGGGATTTGGCAGAGTTTACTGAAACATRGCAATGGATGAGATGGTAGTACAGAGGAAAACATTTTCCAGTGACTGATCTTGCATTGTTGGGAAATGAAAATCAGTTTACAGAATCTATAAAGGGTATCAGTGGGAGGTGTAAGGAAACTGGTGCAATCACAGAAAGTGCTACTCTTCCCTAAATARAGGTTTGGGTCAGATCATACGAGACTGAATTCAGGCTACTTAAACCAAGAAAACCTGAACATAGTTATTAATAGATTAATAYCACCTCATCGGTATCATGAAAATAGATATGAAAGCAACTAGTTGTTTGAAGCCTTCATTGCGGTAAAATATACTAAGAATAAAAAAAAACCCTAGAGGTTGATACAAGAACACCTTTCCTTGGCTTTTGTTTGGATTCTACKGTGGTAAGAGCTTCAGGCTATTAAGGAGACACCATCAGGAACATGCTACCTTCAGCTGACTCCCTAATTAGTTTTGTTTCTTTAAATACTTGTTTTTGCCACTCATCACTGTATTTCAGAGAAGCTTAGAGATCCACTTTCAAATGTGTGCCTTCCATGATCGTTGAGTACTGCAGGTTTGGATATACAAAATGAAATATTTAGCAACCAAAGTAAAATTGAGGAGAKAGAGTAGAACACTGCTTGCCAAGTCATCTATGTTTTATTTCACAGCATTAGGGCTCACTCAGCACTGACGAAAGACTAAAAGCTGTGCCATGATACATTCCACTAAAAGATGATAATGGTGACACTTGCACAGTGATTTAACTAACCTCGAAGAACACTAGTATATAATTGCAATACTGTTACCATTCTGCTTTGGGGTATGCTATTAGAGAAGTAATGGCAGTGAAATTTGCAAAGTGATGTGCTCTTATTGTTCTTCTATAAAACTGACTGAAAGGACTCATGCATGTACAGTTTTCATGTTAAGTGCACTATGGCTGAAAATAATAGATATGTTGTATTTGGCCGTTTCAAACATAGTATGGTAGAATTTTGTCAGCAGAAAGCAGAGACAATTCTGTCATCCTGGATTTCAAGGGAGGTGGAAACTCCTTAACTCAATGGATGCTGTAAATAACACATAAACACACAACTCCTAAAACTTCAATTGCTTTTTTCCCCGCCACCTAAGAGAGTTAACATTTATGTCACTATCCATGACAGGTGGATATACCTGCCAAAGATAATGAGAAAAAARTCACCTTTCAGGCAATGCCACCCAGCAGATGGAGGGAACCTAGGAGACAGAGGAGAATGGGCACAGGATACTATGGCTTGTGGTGGCAGGCAAGCTCCCTCCCAGGCTGCCTCACCTTCCCAAGTGCCCTTATACAACAGGCAYGAGGCCCTGGAACAGGATGGACACACAACTGATGATGTGGACGAGGTTTTCCTGCTGTGCTGATCCTCCTTTTTCTGGTGACYAGTGACAGGACCCAAGGGAACACACAAAGATGTGTCAGGAAAGGTGTGGGCTGGATATCAGGGAAAGATCCTTCACCCAGAGGGTTTTTGGGCACTGGAACAGACTCCCAGGGAACCGGTCAYAGCACCAAGCCTGACAGAGCTCAGGAAGTGTTTGCACTATGTTCTCAGGCACACGGAGTGAATTTTGGGGCTATCCRGTACAGGGCCAGGAGTTCGGACTCCATGATCCTTTTGTGTCAYTTCCAACTCAGGATATTCTATGACAATTTTAAATTAAATCAGAAGGAACATTTTAAACACTGATCAGAACAAGCAGCAAATTAATTTCCTGCTTTCAAGGTCTGTTTTGAGAGGCTGGTGGTTGTTGGCGTTGCTACGAGACCACATTTGTCCTTCAACAGAAGCAGCACACTTAACATGTAATGGCTGAATATGAAACGGCATTGGGACATTGTTAGGCAGGCCATGAAAAGGTTGAGATGCAGGAGTTAAAATGAAAGAAGGCACATGAAAGGAATGAAATTGGGCAGATTAGGCATTCCTCCTTAGAAAGTGGACTCAACTGACAAGTTGAATGCACAGCAGGGGACTGAATTTTATCCAAGTTTACATGTTTCACTTAGTTTATGATAAACAGGTACTGATACGATGTAACAGTATTTTGGAACTCAAAACTAGCATGTTTTTCAGCACAGAAGTCTGTCAAACACGCAGTCATAGAACACCTGCAGAGACAGGGAGAAACTGCTTCCTTATCACTTGCCTAATTTATCAGTTTGCCTCAGACTTACACTAGATGCTTTGCTGTTTGTCAGAGATGGAAAACATTCCTGTACTTACTCAGAGGTACAAGTGTCTGATTAAATACTCCACTTAGTGCAACAGAGCATGGCAGAACAACACAGCAAAATTAGATGAGTAACTGCAGCGAAAGGACAACCAAGTGCCTTTCGTCAGGCATGCCAAGAAGGGCACACATCTCTTTTTTTCTGAGACCTATTCTGAAGAATTTTGGCACTTTATAACAAGCAAGTCTCCTACAACACTTGAAAGGCATGTTTCAGAAATTAGGTCAGTGCTCAACAGCAAGCTGTTAGCTCCTTAAACACAAAGATGGCTTTAATTATCAAGCAAATGCACACCATCGTATCAGYAGAAACATAGTGGGCTGCCTCACTTTTCTCTACTTTCCAAGTACAATCTCCATCTGCTTCATAAGTCGTTATCCACACACCTCTACGTGATGTATTAACACATGTGAATTTCCTGGGGAGTAACTTTAACATATCATAGAGCCTGAGTCAAGATTTTGTGAGAACTGAGCCTCTATCTAAGAACTCTCACATCTTATTCAAATATATATTCAAAAACCAAGACAAAAAACTTTGGCTATATAAGGATGCAGCTAGAATTTTAAAGGATTGCATGGTATTCAAGCAAGAGAGGAGGATCACAGCTTCCCATATTGGTATCTTAGAGTTCATCTCTTCTTGACTGAAATAAAGTTGCACTAATTAGTTCAAAATGTTAATGGTCACACTTCAATATTTGTATGCCATCCAAGGATCAGACTGGCATTCAGGCTTTGGGCAATGACAACACCCACTGTGGGATTTTTTTTTTAATCCTTTGCTTCCCTATAGCCAAATATTAGCACCTGAGTATATTAATGTGAGTTTTCTTTATTCCTGTTGGGATTMTTTTGCTATAATACTACTAGTAGTAATTGGACTTTCCTTACATATTTGTAAAACCACCATATGACCAATGTAATTTCTATACATTCATTTAGCTTGATCTGGATGTYACACCATACAATGATCTTTCTCACATTCCTGGTTAATTCCACCTTCATGCAGGCAGAATTTCCCCCAACAGCACTGGACTCAGAAACCTACTCTAAAGGTACTTAAAAATACATGAAAATGAAGAACATTTCTGTACTTTGCTTTTCTTACATATGTTTTGAAATGTTCTTTAACCTAACTGATTGCTATGTACTTTTTCACACAATGGCCATTTCAAATTTTACTAAAAAAAAAAATAAATTACAGTATGAGTGCACCCCTTCACTCCTCCAAGATTTAATCTTGGAAAACTAACCAAAGAGTTAAAGCTGAAATCCTTAATTAAACCAAAGTGGTGGAGGACTGGATTTCACTCTGGATTTTTTAACATCATCATTTCCTTCTCCATTGTCCAGCCATACCTGAAGGCAGGCCTTAAGTCATACAGAAGTCAGGACATTTACACATTTCCACCAAAAAGTTATTTACCCTAGAATGAGARTTCACATCCTCATCACCCTTTTCCCTTCTCCTCCTTTTCAACTCCACCAAATACAGGCTCTTTCCAAAGACTTGAGATATATTTGATCTTAAGGACAGGAAAATGATAGCAGTTTAGAAGAGACTTTTTTTGATCCCCATCAAGGCAGGACATCAGTTAATCCCCTAATTCTCACCAAGCTAGGCCAAATGGCCCAAATTAAAGAAAAAAAAAGAAAACCAGAAAATCTGACAAATGTAGTTAATGATATAAAAATAAAGTAGTGCCAATATTCATACTTACAGGCTGAGGCTGTTCTGCAATACAGCAGTTGAAACACAACCAAAATTCACTCATTGTTTACAGTCTGAAGTGGGAACACAGATGAAAAGCAGGACTCAACCTTCGCAAGTCTGTCTGCAGGTASTAAGTTCTTTGAACAGGTTTATTTTTAATGGCTCCAATGTGAAAATCTTTTTTTCTGTTGAGCTCTTCTCCAAAGACAAGTCAGTCCCAGGACAAAGAACTTGAAGGCAAAAAGTTAGAGTCTTCTTTCAGAAGGTTGATCCCAGCACCAGAGAAATACTACGTATGCTTCTTTGGTCCCTAGCGTTACGTGAACCTGAAAACAGAAGTACATTTATCAACAAGAGAGAATATATAGAATCTCAAGCTCAGMCAGCCCCCCACAACACTGATTTCTTGGTAATATCCTGAATTACAAACTGAAGACACTAGAATCACGCCTATTGACACACCATATTTCTCAATGGAAAAGTGACCCAGACCATTCACAGTGTGAGATTTAAACAGTATTTAACATCAACCCTGTTACACAATTGTCAGTCAAAGGTATTATCTCCTAAATGTTGAGGCAACAAATATATTTCTGTATATGGAAAATCGGCAAAATGGCTGGACCTGGTCAACACAATGTATTTTCCTTTCACCCTCTTCTACCCTGCGTTTCATTTACAATTGACTTCAAAATASGATATAACTTGTAGAGCTTGAAACTGTTTCCTTAAGCTTCTAAAACTCATCAAGTGGAACAAATGAGGCTCCAGATTCCAACCATTCCTTTGCTAAAATAATGTTTATTGGTAAACCTCCATTCTGGTTTCTTTCAGTAAGAGTGCAATAAAAATTCCTGTGAAACTTCACTTACCTTGCYATATATCACAAACTTTACTTGCAGAGAAACAGAGACAATGAGTATTCAGAAGTTTTTACAAGCACACTCCTTAATAATTCTTTATATTACTGCATCTTCACTTACACAATGTTTGCACAAGTATTATTCCTATGCTATTCSTCACAGCATGAAGCAGTTTGGAGACTCCATGCAATGCACAGAACTACATGCATTGTATATGTACAAACACACATTCTGTACCAGAGCAGTTCCACTTTCCTACCACCTCCATTAGCTCTCTACATGCCAAGCACAAAGACATGCCTCATTTATTACACACATGCCAAGTTACTGCACCGTGTGGCCACCACTAGCCAGGTACTTTCCAGGTCTGATGTCTACAACACACACAAAAAGAACACAGCAGAACCTTGCCCCTCATATATCCAAAGCCTCTAGGAAGCTTTCACACTCCTTAGCTTTTGAGACACTAACATGTAAATTTGACAATTCCAGTCCTGTGTAATTCAGCTTATGGCGCTTATGGCTCCTTAAATCTTAGTTGATTAAACTTCTGAGAAGACTGGCTCAAAGTTATTCTGAAACACAGCAATGCACCTCCAATGCTATCTGTTCAGATCATGAGAAACTAAGAAATTAAATACTCAAAGTAACATCTTGAAGTTTGATATATTTTAAGCTGCTGGAGCAATAAATGAATATTATGCAGTGAGCTTTTCTTGCTGTGCAAGTGCCCAAATATTCTGATTTGTGACTCCTGAAATCATGAAACTTTTAWTATTGCTTCCTTACAATCTTTTTGRCACAGGGCAGAACGGACATATCAAATTCTTGTTCTCACAGGGGGTTAACTTTGATATGGCTGTTGCACCCACGTACAGAAGAAACACACTGAAGGGCAAGGAAATTCCTGTTGTTAATCTGTCTCTGTGTTTGTTCACTGAGAGCTGGCACACTCCTCCAGCTCACTGCAGCCTCCAGSCTGTGCTAAAGCCCTGGGAACAAACCTGAAGGGCTTGTGCGTGCACCTGTGAGCCTGGAAGGCTCTTCCTGTTTACAGAACACCCAAGGGTGCAGAAGTTTTGTTCTGCATAGCCACTCTCAGCATGCAGCACTTGTGACCTTCAGGACAGAGCCCTCCTCAAAACTGACTCCCTGCCTTAGTTCTAAAGCTTCTGACTGACAAAAACAAGCTAAAGATTGTAAATAGTAATCATTGATAGCATTTTTATTCTTAAAAATGCATTTTTTTTCTTCTACAGCCTGTAAAGTGGTACATTTGCCTTTAGTCTGATGCAATCACTAACAACACCTTTTCAATCAGTTAACTTTTGATTAAAACACACCACAGAAAYATCARTAAGTCTGGAGAAAACTGACATTAATTGCACCTCTTAAAAGGCAAACAAATGCTTAGCAGTATTCGTTAGAGCTCTGGAATTTCATATTCCTTTCCAGTTTGCYAAACAATTGATTTTTACAGGAGCCAAGCTGATATAAATAAAGGGATAAATCCGTTGCACCAAAATGGAAAGAAAAAGCAATTAAGCTGAAAGAAAAGAAATGTATTGGCACTGTGATGTCAACAGCAACACACTAGGACTTCTTTCAATCTGCCAGTTRCTTGTTTAAAGAACAAGTTGAAACACGAAAATTCTACTGTTYTCTTGCAAATTATTGGTCAGAAAGAAAGAAAGAAAAAAGCACCACAGTGGCCTACAGCTACTATGTAATATCAACGCACCAGCCATCTCGTGGGAAAGTGCTCCTGCAAAGCTTGAACTGCGCCCCAAACCTAGCTGCAATTAACAAGGTCTCAAAATACAAGTATTATTTCACAGCTAGTTCTCTGCTTTATCAGAGGATTAAGATTTTAATCACAGACCCACAGAATGGTCTGGGTTGAAAGGCACCTAGAGATCATCTTGTTCCAGCATCCCTTCCATRGGAACACCTTCCACCTGACCAGGTTACTCAGGACCCCATCCAAGCTGGCCTTGAACACTGTCAGGGATGGGGCATTCACAGCTCCTCTGGGCAACCTGTTCCAGTGTCCCACCACCCTAAAAGCAAAGGGTGGCAGTTCTAACATGGCATCGTTCACAGCGCTGCTGCATTCGTATGCACAGACTTGCCACATGAAAAGTGTAACAGAGGGTGAAGAATACACCTCATGGAAACAGCTCTGCCACCCTTTGCTTTTGCTCTTTGCCCAGTTTATGGTGCGCAGAGTGGCAGAACATTGTAGATCTCACACTGAAAAGCCAAGACAGTTACTCAGTCAGAATCAGAAATTTATCAGAGAGATACGTGGTGAAACCTGATTTGCTTTTCCCATGTAAACTGTCTAAACTTTGAATGCAACTTACTTTAGCGTGGATGATTCACACTAAAAACCACACAGAACTACAATGCTGAACATCTCATTTGAAGGCTTTTATACTTTAGTTATGATCTCTATTTAATAACATTTATATAAAGTCTAAGTATGATGAAATTAAGACTTTAAAACTAATGAATTGATTAAAATTTAAGGTGAAAATCAATAAGGTAATTTTCATTATTCTGAGGTTTATTCCACAGTGACTGCAAAAACCAAAACTACTGCTTATTGTTCAATACCAGTCACAAAGGGAGTTAAGTGCAAACACCACATTAATGAATAGTGGGTAAAGCACGTTCTGTTACATTTTTCTTACTAAAGCAGCATTAACTTTTCTGTGAGAAATAAACAGAGCAGGAAAGGAGGAAAAGTAAACAAAGAAATCAATTTTCCCCAAGCTCTTCACATTTATTGATATAAAGCAGGTTAGGTAGCATTTACCTTAACTGATCCAATCCAAAAAAATATGCTCTATGCTGTGGTGAGACAGTTAAAATAAAGCCACTTATTAATTATACAGCTTGAGAACAGCCTGTTCTTTTTTAAAAAGCATCTACATAGTTCCTTTTAAGGGTGAACTCTCTATATCCTTTGTATACTGTTCACTGCGACTTCAAACAGGAAGTGTGGTAACAACGCTGTTTGACAATTATTTGAAGCAAACAGAACCACAGGAAGAGGAAAAAAAATGACAGCAGGTGTTAGTATCTGAATTTAACTAAGTTTGCTTCAAGTCTCAGACTACTATTGAAGGAGAATGGGGAAAAAAGGRTAAAAAAAAAAGCAACCTATGAACAAAAAGTCCTAAGTATGCCATATCACAGTGTGTCATGACAGAACATGATGTTAATATAATAAGCACATGTACAACCAAGCCTACTACTAGTATTTTAGTCTCAAATACTTTGTAAGAAAGACCTTTACAGTTWCTTTTACTATAGAAGATTCACTCAATGAATTGAATTTTTTTGTCTTCAAGGTTTTTTTGCCTTAAAGGAATTGAAAAGTTATAATTTCTTTCAATCCTGCAAGCTATAAGTAGAAAATTATCATTTCCAAGTGTATTTTTAAGACTTGTTTCATGGTTTTCCCTTTAAATTTCTATTGTAGCAACACGATTTCCTCTTGATAATGACTAAATAAAGTAATGTGACAGCCAGAAATGAGGGAGGAAGAGGACTAAGGCCAAACCAACAAACAGGTTGTGCTAGTGCACACTTCCATACGCTTACAGCTGTGGATGACAGAGGACGCTCTCCAGCTCTCAAAGGAAGTTAGAGGTGTTTATYAATTTGCCGGCCTCATTCTTTTTCAAATGAAACAATCTACAAGAAGCAAGAGGTTTCAATCAAAGACAACCTATAAAGTTGCCTCCATTAATGCATTTTGTGCCAAAAACTTTATCTCACAGGGATACTGCTCTTACAGAAACACTCTTCCTCCATAACCCACTACCAGAACTGACACTTCCAGGGACTTTGACACTAATTTTAAYACAGATTATGCTTTGCACTTTCAAATCCTGAGAAACTTGAGCTGCAAGTAACTCTTGCCACACAAAACAACATTCATCACTAACAYAGCCCAAATTAAGACTGAAATCCCTTTTCCATTTCCTCATACTCTTCCCATATGGATTGTGCCTCAAACCCCTCCCAAGTGCTTTAGGCTTTAGTCTCAAGATATTTAACAATCTTCTTCAAAGTCTGAGTTGGACTTTCTTGTACATTTTCAAGCCCTGAATCTGTAAAAAGGTTATTTTATTCATGTCTTTATGATACAGTTTTGCACATTATTACTATAGCAATAAGACTACAGGGTTTTATTTTGGGATTATTGGTCAYCTGGAGTCAGTTCTTAATTTCGCCCCTATTTATACTGAAATGGTTTTTATTAGTATGYTTCCTTAAGCAAGTTAGAAATAGGTTGTACTTCAAATCATACTCAACACAAACTAATAGCAATAAACAATTACTACTACAAGAGCAATCTGATTTTAAGTTAAAAGTTTCAAAGACTGATGAAAAGAGAGGAATAGGATAAAGACAGCATTACAGCTTACTTAAAGGAGACAGATGGGGTG